CTGAATGAAAACAAATGCATGGATCAGGGGCAGCATGTGCACTGGCTTCTCTCTGCTGTACAGTGCAGAACTGCAGCGGGGTGGGGTGGGGGGGATACAATGGCTCCTGCTTATCAGTTAGTCGTCTAGTTGATTGTTGCTAACATCCCTAATTGAAACCAAATTCATCATGTATGTAATTAATAGAAACTAGTATACCTCTCTTTCTGCTTATAATACTAGAGAACATTCTTTTACAATCTGTTAAATCTTCCATTTCATTCTCATTTAATATTTAATAGTTCCTTGGTGATTAATTTGAAAACCTGGAAGATGCCAGTGCCTCTTTTGTGGAAAGGAAAGTTTGCTACATGCGTCTTGCCTTTAAGACTATGTAAATGTAACTCTCCCCTCAGAACCTCTACTGTGTATTACTTGTGTCAACAAACTTCTGTTTAGGTCCTATGAAATAAAGGGATTGTAGGGAATAATTTCTGGACATGCTGGGTGCAGGTGAAAACAAGCAGAGGATTTATTGGTTCACACAGCTGGTGGACTACTCATCAGGGGTTAACCCGGTGAGCACTAACTTAACCAAAACATACATTAGATTATATAGGTAGCAGATGGATGGAGGAGAAGTGATTTGATAGGTCTAGCAGCGGAAGTGAGATATGCACAGAAGCCAATGGTCTACGACAATTACACAGTATCTCCGCCCATTGCCAATTAAACATGTTATCACTAATACAGGTGTTATTCCTAACAAACTAAGTATGCCAACATAAACAAAGGCATGTTGATGGTCGTTTTGTCGGCCGGAAATATAACGCATCTCCTGCACGGGTGGTATTGCCTTGGCGCGATCTTTGGGATCCAAGCTTATTTTCTAGGAACAAAGTAGACAATGAAAAACAATCCTGCGCGGTTGTTTGGTACCAACCTTATCAAAGTGAGGCCCTTTTAGAATGTGGTTGCCAGGGGATCTAGGGTCACAGTAACTGTGGTACTGTATGTTTCCCAGGGCTGGCCTAATACTTTCAGATTTGAGTTTGTCAGTTCTCAGCAAGATACCATGGACTGCCTCAATTTACCCTACAGGGATGCAGTCTGTGAAAAATTTCCCTCCCAAACTAAAAGAAAAATATTACCTTAAAATCACCATTTAGGTCAGAGGTGGAAAAGAGACAGTTAGTGGGCCGTATCTGGCCCAGCACATTGCTGGATCTGGCCCATGGCCAACTGGCCTGCACCCTTACTACACTGCAGCTTACGCTGTTTGAAACAGCTGGCCTGCTGATTGCTCTGCACACTGGGCAGGGATGGGAGAATTCGTGCACTGTCCCCATCCCCAGCAAAATCCCACAGTTCCCATTGGCCAATTTCCAGCCAATAGGAGCTGAGAAATTTTACTCGAGGTAGGAGCAGAGAGCAAAGCATCCTTTCTCCCCAGTGCTGGAGCAGAGCCATATGGGAGTATCCCACCCCGCAGACTCAGGTTCCTGCTGGGCTGCTGGCTAGGAATTACCTAGATAAGAGTCTCCCAGATGCAGCCTATCTCTGGCACTCCCCTCATCTCATTTCCCCCTGCATCTCTTTCCCCCCTGCAGTTACCTGCTCCAGGTCATCAGCCCCTCCTACTCCCATCAAAACCCCCTGTATCCTCTCCCAAGGTTACAACTCCCTCCCAGATCCTGCACCCATTCTTACTCCCTACCGCCAGTCCAGAATTGTCTCCTGCACCCATACCCACTCCACCCCATTCCTCTATCCCAAGCTCCCTTCTGCACCCCACCTCCAGTCCCAGGTCCTAGACCCCCTCCATAGAAGTGTGGCCCGTGTCCACTTACCAAAATCTTGAGTGGCCCCCCCACTAAAAATTATTACACACCCGTGATCTAGGTGAAGGGTTTTTATCGGCTGTATTAGAAATTGATGACCTCTTGTGTTAAACAGGAATAGTTTGGCATATTCATTATGCATGTTTTTAACTAACCTTTTGTATTCCTTAAGGTTAGGATCAGATGGATCAAATAAAGGGTTTAAAATTATAAATTACAATGAACTACTGTGTCAGCAATTGAAAGCTTACGTATAGCTCCATTAGAGGGGTAGTTTTAGAAGTACTAACAATCTAATAAATATTTTCTTCTTCTGATTCACTCTTTCTGCCTTGTTCTGTGTTGTCATTCAGTGAGTTCATACGTATCTACCAGCAGCTTGTTTATGTTGAAACTGTGAATAGAGCAGAAAAGACAATTAACAGAAAGCCAACTTATATCTAAAATACAGAGACCTGATTAGAACAAGATAAGTATGGAAAAGAAATACAGTATTTGAGAAAAAGTACGCAGTAGGGATATAAATAATATGTAAAACGAATAAACATGTAACCTATTAAACTTCTATCAGGTAACATTTAATCAGAGAATGAAGATTGCAGGGTTTATACAGGACTCTGCTGTGACCCTGCCCCTGGGATTTCCCTCCCTAGCATCCTGGATGACTGCCCAGGGTTCCAGCAGCTCTCCAGCTCTGCACCTGGGAGCTTTGCCACCACGTGGCATTGCAGGATGCCTGGTAAGCCAGCTGCCAGCCCTGCACCCAGTGTTGCGGCTGCACACTCCACTCCAGCAGATGGGATCCCAGGTGTGCAGGGCAGCAGCAGAGTTTAATGGTTAACTGAAATCAGTAATCATCAAGCTTATTGATTAACTGGTTAGACTTTTACATTTCTACTCTGTAGTTGACACAGAGAAAACAACCAATGCTGAAAGAGGGTGGAAAAAGTAAAGTAATATAAAACACATATTGAAGCTATTACTTTCCCAGTAATTAATTTAAGCAAGATAAGCAGGGGATAGATTGATAAAACCACATTGTTTCTCTCAGACATGCTCTCTAATCAGTTGAAAATTCATATTTGATACAGATTGGTATTACTGAGAAACAAGGAGTTACAGAAAAAATATTATTTTACAGTTAAGCCTGAAATTGAAAGTGGGATATTCTTCAGGCAGATACATTAGGAAAAATTACTACCTTCTAGCAAGTGAACCTTTAACATGCCAGCAATTTGTTTTGATGAAAGTATATGTAGCTGTGGATGCAATAGTTTCAACAGAGTATTTTGAAATACTGTGGGAAATGAAAAAATTGGGAAAATAGCTATAGGTTCGAGCTCTAGAGTATTCCTCCTTCATTGTGTATATATACTATACATTTGGCTGTTTTTCCAAGAAGAGAGACATCATTTAATTCACTGTATTTGCTCAAATGTTGAATTGACTGCAATTACATTAAAAATTGAAAACATAATTAACCTTGAGAATATTTATTAAAGTTTTTGAGATAGTAATGACGGAGACACAGAAATAACAAACTTAAAATCAGCAGTACCAGAAGAAATAGATCTTCATCCCACTGTACCATCTTATTTATTTACATTTTCACAGCCTAAAAATCGAGACTTTGGCACAGAAGACTATGGTCAAGTTATTCCTGCAGGTGCTATTTTATTTGGGATGGCAGTGGAATGCAAAGAGATACGCAGACATCACAGGTGTGTTTATACTTTGACAAGATATGGAGCTCACATGTGACAGATTTATGAAAAGAAATTTGATCATTTTAAACAAAGGGGGATTTTTTTAATTTATTTTACACAAATATATGTATGTATTATGTGTGTAGTTTAAATGAGACCCTCAACTTAAGCAGCAGTGCAAAGTATGAACAGAATTCTGTATGGTTGAGTGACTGAGCTGGTTCTGATGAACTTTTAGATCTGTATTGGAGTTGTCAAAATTCATTTGGGGATTGTAACCTTGGCAAGTTTTTTTTTTTTTCTTGCCTTTGGTATTGCATTAGACTTTATTTAGACCAGTTGCAAACGCTTTACTTTTTCACCATATTCCAGAATGGCTTCTCTTACCTAAAAGACAAACCTCTCCAATGAAAGAGCATTGTTTATTAATCTGAAAACATATTGAGACTGGGAAAGAGAGTGCATTATAGTTTATGCAGTATGGATTATTGTAGTTTATTGTTGAAAACTTCAGCATTATAATCATTCATAGGCCTTGATTTGTTTAATTTAGGATTGATTGTCGTTTTCTTGCTCTCTGTTCCTCCTTTCCCCTCCCAGGGTGAGAATACAAGAAGTTGCCTGTGTGCATTTGGCAGAAACGGTAGAGTTCTGTAGTCCAATTCATGCTTCTGTGAACTCGGAAGAAACTATTGAACCTTACACCACTGAAAAACTCAGTAGAGTTCCTGGGGGGTATATGCCTCTAACAGAACCCTTTCAAGTCATGACAGTGGATTTCAACAATCTGGAGGTAATGATTTCTTCACTGGTTTACACCCTAAAATGCAAGCAAACAAAAGTGTAGGGCAGCTGATGCAAAGGCAAAATTTTGGCTTGTCTCTAAGGATGTTTCTTTATTGCAGTTATGTTGGATGTTAGGTAGCTGAGTTTGAGCACCCAAGTTAGCCTACGCTGGGTGTGAACAGACATGCTATAAACCCATACCTGAGTTCATGTGTGCTTGCTGGGACTGCACTCACCTGTGTATATCACTAAGACTTTTTAGGATATATGGTTCCTTGTGCTGCAGGATCTTTCTCATTGGATTATGGAAGAATTTTTTCCTTCTGGGTTCATAGAGGGAAATAAAGGATAGGGGCTGGAGAACTGTTAGTGCTCAAGTAATTCAGCTGCATTCTCATTCTCAAAGTGGGAAGGCTACCAGGAAAAGTGGCATGTGAACTCCTGGTTGTACCTCTAGTTAGGTTAACTTAGCATCACTAAATTTTGGTGAGTGGGTTTTATATGTGGACAGAAGCAAAGATGGGGACAGGGACAACACCCAAGAAGGGTCCTGCAGTAACTGCAGTGTAAAGATATGTAAAATGTGTTATATGTTTGTCCATGTGCTCTTGTCTCATTGCTTCATTTTTACCCCTAGGATTGCAGTATATAAATGAGTTGTGACTGATCATATTTCCACTAAAATTATAGGAATGCATTTGAATTGTTGAGGATGACACATGAAAGGGTATATTTCAAGTCAAAACATTACCACTTAACAATGAGCTGTTTATAGATAATTGCAGTAAAGGGTGGGATAGGAAGCTCCTTGTGTCACCATTCAACCAACTTTTGATATTTTTCCCTTATGGAAACCATCTTGTACATTTATATTTTGACAATGCAAATAGGTTTATTTTTTGTGTATGAACCAAATACACCTGAATTAAGATGTAGGTCTCTGAGCCAATGATGGCCTTGCAGACTGCAAAGGCCATATAATTTGATGCTCGCTCATGCATGTTCTGATTTGTTGACTCATGGAAAGGAGATTGCACCAAGTGATACGAAAGAGCTTAAAATAATTGTTATATAGATACAAATTATTCTTAGCTAGAGATTAGTTGGGAATTGCTGTGTTCTGTATCGGTAACTTTCCCTGTTTACCTTTTCTGACATTGGAAGTCAATAAATGAAGAAAAGCACTTGAATATATTACAGGGAATATATTATATGCTGCAACAACCACCTCTGGCTTCTCTCTGATATACTATTAGTGTCTTGTCAAGTGCTTGATCTTATACCTGATGTCCTCAGTTTGTGACAATATATATACATTATTAATCTTACATAATTCATTTTATAAGATCTTTACATACATTTTATAAGATTTAGAAATGTGAAACTCTAAACATTTTATTAGTTAGATTTTCAAATAAAGCGTGCTCTAGCCTTACTGTATGAAGAGGTAGGTGAAAACAAATGTATTCAGTTTCATTTGTTTGACACAAGTGAATACTCATGAAGATGCAACTTTTTGCCATAAAAAATCTGAAGCTTCTTCATACATTGGCAACTCAGTTACTCTCCCCCCCCCCCCCTGCCCAGTGTTTGTTTTC